TCCAAATCAAGCGTAGGGAGGCTGAGCGCCCCCCCATCTCCCCAATATTGGAAAAAGAACATCATGCTAATGTAGTGGCACATTTACAAGCGGATGACTGGGGGAGACCCACTGTGTATATGGAGTTCAATAGGGGAGCATTCAGACAAAAATTGTTAATAGACACAGGTGCCACATTTTCTTCAGTTAGTACAAAGGATAAGAATTTATGTGGACCTCCTGTAATAGTCAGGAAGCTGCAAGGATTTAATGAAGCAATGAGTAGAGTACCATTTAGTGCTCCAGTTCATTTTCAATTAGGGAGGAAGAAAATGGTAAAGAACAGTTTGGTATGATGAATTTAGATGGTGATGGAATAATTGGTGTTGATGTATTAGGTAAGCTTGAGGTAACAGTAGATTTGGTAAATAAAGTATTATGGGAAATACCGTCAATAAGGCCAGAACAAGAGATCTACCAATTGTTATTGAGGCAGGATATAGGTTAGCTGCTATCAAAGCAGCAGAAGAAATAAAATGGGCTGATTGGCCAACAGAGGTTCTGGAAATAGCACAAAAGTATAAGGAAGTCTGGGCAACCAGTAAGGCAGAATGTGGAAAAACAGAAGCAGAAGTCTTGATCACTGGACCAGATCCCCCACTTCAAAGACAGTATAAATATTCTAAGGATGCAGAACGTAGTTTAATGAAAACTATCCAAGGGCTTTTAGAATAAGGTATAGAATAGTTGAACAACAGAATACCAATAATGCAGCTATTTGGCCAGTTTTAAAGGCAGATAGTAAAACTTGGAGACTATCTATTGATCTTAGGCCTCTTAATAAAGTGACTCCAGTGACAGCTCCAGTAGTGGCAAAGTATCCCAAAGTAACTGCCTCTATTATCGGAGGAGCATGATGGTTCACTGTTTCAGATTTAGCCAATGCATTCTTTGCAATTCCTTTGCATCTGGACTCCTGGTACAAGTTTGCCTTTACATTCCAAGGAAGACTGTTTTATTTTTGTTGATCTCCACAAGGTTTCCATAACAGCCCTGCTATCTGCCATATGGATGTGAACAAATATGGGATAACATGCCTAATAAAGAGAACATCATATTATATGTACATGATATCCTTATAAGCACAAAAACTAAGTAAGAGAATTTAGAAATTTAGAAAGAGAATTAGATCACGTATTACACAAAATAAAGGAAACAGGGTTTAAAGTTAGTCCAGAAAAAGCTCAAATATGCCAACAGCAAGTAAACTACCTAGGGCTAACGTTGGGACAAAAGGGACGATCACCAGATAAACAATGGGTAGAATTATTGCAAAAATTACCAGCCCTCAGAGGCATATCTACTTTAAGATCGGTTTTGGGTATGACAAGACAAATTTCTCAAGAGAATTATGCAAAGAAAGCCAGCTCACTGTCTAAGTTATTTAAAAAGGGTAATAACTGGGAATGGGGATTAGAACAGCAGGGAGCTTTTATGCAGCTTAAGAAAGCATTAGCACAAACCCCAGCTTTAGCATACCCAATAGTAGGACAACCTTTTATGCTCCAATTGGCTACTACCAGTACTGGAATGAGTGCTGTATTGAGTCAAGACCATGGAACAGGTCTTCGACCACTGGCATATGCCTCTAAGGTTCTGAATTGAGTGGAAAAAGAATTTATTCCTTGTGAGAAAGAGGTATTAGCCTTGGGTTGGGTTTTGCAACATTGAGTGTATTTAGTAGGACTATCTCCAGTGCTTCTTAAGACATCACATTCACCTGTGAAATATGTATTAACAGGAAAAATTAATGATGCACATGTTTCTAGTCCTAGATTAGCAAAACGGACGTTAGCCATGCTAAATAAAAATGTAACAATGGAAAAGGTCCCAGTTTATCAACAGTTTCGTATGGTCTTATAATTGAAGAATAGCATCAATGTCCCCCACCAGAAATGGACCAGTAATGGGATATCTTAAGTCCAAACAGTGGAATAACACCATTATCAACTGTCCTGCTTATCCCACACCTGCCTTTACTTCCCCTGCAAATTAGTCTCTCTTATAGAAAAGAAATGCTGCCCTTTTAAATTCATACGCTTAATATATCCCACACCATGATTTTCTTAAACAAAGATACTTTAAAAAAAAAGCAGATACAATCCATACAACAGCAGACATATTATGGACTCAGTCATAAAGGCGTCATTCAGGAAACCTCAGTGAGAGAAGCAAGAATAGTCCCTCAGTTAGAGGATAAACTCTTCAAGACTACGAATAGGGACATTCCCAAAACAAACAAATGACAAAGTAGAAAACAAATTTTATTAGATGAAGAAAATTGTCTAAAAGTCTCCTGTTTTTTGGTTAACAAAAGCAGCAAACCACAAAAAACCCTGCATTCCATGACAAGAGTTCATGTCAACAAAATTAATCCTTGAGCACATCATTTGTATATAGAATGTTATAACTGCTAAAATGTTTTTGGGCAAACAAAGTTATATTAGTCCAAATATAGGTGCTTTACCTGGAAACATGAAAAATATAAATTGTTTGCTGACAGATATACTGTAGGACTGCTAGCATTTTTTGGTACTTAATAGTGTCACCCCTCCTAGAAAAATTAACAAGTAAAAACACTAAGAAATTTGGAGACACAATGAAGGAAAAGAACAGCCAACAGGCCAAAGTGTGTTCAGCTTGGTCATCAGCAAATTCAACTTCATTTTTATTTAAGAAGCCTGTGGAAAATGAAGCGAATTCAATGCTCACAAAGGTGCTGTAGTCAGAAGTCCACTACTTTATCTACACAACAGGCAGAGGAGGGGTAACAGCACAAGCCCACCATACAGTTGTGCCTCAAGCCTGACCCAGAGTAATGCCATTTTCCCTGTACAATCCATCTCAGGCTTTTCAGATACAATAGTACTAATTGGTACCAGTTGGCAAAATATAATTATTTTAAGGGACATGGACACTAGTCCACTGGGAATTAGACTGAGACCACCCACTCAGTTAAGTTTGACAAGTTTTGTATTACAATATTTCTAATTGACAGTGGCAGCCTTACTGAATTTAAAATAAAAATAAAATGTTAAAAGGAAGGAAATGTCTACATTTTTACCCTTATACAGTATGCAGAATAATCAATCACTTTGGAAAGTCATAAGATATAAAGTTTCATGCTTTGAATACTTTTCAATGCTGTTTGTTTACATAAATGGCTTTAAACACAATTTGTTCTTTTGTTTTCACGGTCCCAAATGCAGTTCAATTATTTGAAGTAACAGTTTGCTTATTATATTTATGCTAATTACAAAGTACAATAATCTGTGCTTATTTGTTAGTTTACACGTCTGATGTCACCCATCACAACCACACACAGGCGTATGTATTTAAATAACTATGAGATTGCATTTTATACCATTTCTATTCATATGTACTCTAGGCTTAATAAACTCCTACTATGTCTTAGCAAAACAGTAGTACATCAGCTGTGCTGTACTAAAGTTAATTTCTATCATTCCCATCATAATCAGTATAACTCTGATATCCACTGTTCCTCCTCTCATGAAGATTATACATCTTCTTCCACATGGACTCTTGATGGAAACCAGCACTGAAAGATCTACCCAGATGTCCATGCTGTTTCTTGGTGATATTGTCTTCGCTTTCAGATTTGGCAATTCCCTGTGCTTGTGGTTGCATATCTCGTCTAATGTTTCCAAATGGGAAGTTCCAAGGACCAAACCTTTGCCAGTTAAGTCTCTGAAAAGCAATGATACAATGCAGGTTTCCTCCTACCTGACAAAAGGTAAAAAGCATTTTGTTAAAAGGTGTGCAAAGAAAAGTACTTAAGTATTATTTATGAAAATATTTTGAATATTTATGTAACAAACTGCTTTAGTTTAGTTTCTTCAACTCTTTTACTAGTTCCCTTCCTAATCTTCTACACAATACTTAAGTTTCCCTATGTAGCATTCACAAGCCAGCATAATCCAGCTTCTGCCTACCTTTGTTAGTCTTTACACTCTCCACCCAAAATGCACAACTACCAGAGTGTTTCTGTCCTCTTTCTACTCATCTTCAGATTTTCTTCCATGCACCCTTCCTTGCACCTAGAAGAGAGGGTTACTCACCTTGTGCAGTAACTGAGGTTCTTTGAGATGTGTGCCCCTGTAGGTGCTCCACTTCAGGTGTGGGTACATCCCGACGCCGTTGATTGGAGATTTTCGGTAGCAGTGCTCGGACAAATGCGCATGCGCAGTAGCTGTCTTGCGGCGCCGCTGGAGTCTCCTTTAGTGCATGCACGGCCTGACCCCCTCAGTTCCTTCTCTACTGTAGAGTCCTTGTATCAAACTCCAAAGTAGAGGGGAGGAGACTGGGTAGTGGAGCACCCACAGGGACACACATCTCTGAGAACCTCAGTTACTGCACAAGATGAGTAACCCTCTCTTCTTCTTCGAGTGCTGTCTCTGTGGGTGCTCCACTTCAGGTGACTGTAGAGTAGCATCCACAAAGGGGGACTCTGAAGTTACTTGCATAGTGGAGGAGAGGTCTGTTAGGCCTAGTATGGCATCAGCTCTTGAGGCTTGTATAATTGCATAGTGGTTAGTGAACTTATGTTCTGAGGCCCATGTAGCTGATCTCTGAAATGGGTACATTATTTAGAAATGCAAAGGATGCTGCCATGGATCGTGTAGATGCTGCAATGGATCTGACACCCATTGGGGGTTCTGTCTTATACGTTTGATAACATAAGCAAATGCAGCTCGAGATCCACTTAAATAGTCTATGTTAGGATATAGCAGAGCCCTTAGATCATTCCGTCATTGAGACGAAGAGCCTTGGGGATTTGCAGAAAGACTTTGTTTTGTCCAAATAAAAGGCTATAGCTCGTCAAACATCGAGGGTATGCGACATGGCCTCCTGTGTGTTTCTGTGTGGTTTAGGATAGAGTGTAGGAAGGTGAATAGGTTGATATGGAAGGTTGAAGCTATTTTAGGGAGGAATTCTGTTCTGTCATCTGGTACCACTGAGAACAGTCTAGATCCATCCTCTTTGGAACCCCCTTTCAGGTAGTTGAAAGCAGCTATCAAATCCCCCCTCATTCTTCTCTTCTGCAGACTAAACAATCCCAGTTTCCTCAGCCTCTCCTCCTAAGTCATGTGCTCCAACCCCCTAATCATTTTTGTTGTCCTCCGCTCGAAGCTTTCCAATTTTTCCACATCTTTCTTGTAGTGTGGGGCCCAAAACTGGACACAGTACTCCAGATGAGGCCTCACCAATGTCGAATAGAGGGGAATGATCACGTCCCTCAATCTGCTGGCAATGCCCCTACTTATACAGCCCAAAATGCCATTAGCCTTCTTGGCAACAAGGGCACACTTGACTCATATCCAGCTTCTAGTCCACTGTAACCCCTAGGTCCTTTTCTGCAGAACTGCTTCCTAACCATTCGATCCCTAGTCTGTAACAGTGAATGGGATTCTTCCATCCTAAGTGCAGGACTCTGCACTTGTCCTTGTTGAACCTCATCAGGTTTCTTTTGGCCCAATCCTCTAATTTGTCTAGGTCCCTCTGTATCGTATCCCCTACCCTCCAGCGTATCTACCACTCCTCCCAGTTTAGTATCATCTGCAAACTTGCTGAGAGTGCAGTCCACGCCATCCTCCAGATCATTAACGAAGATATTGAACAAAACCAGCCCCAGGACCAACCCTTGGGGCACTCCACTTGAAACCTGCTGCCAACTAGACATGGAGCCATTGATCACTACCCATTGAGCCCGACGATCTAGCCAGCTTTCTATCCACCGTATAGTCCATTCATCCAGCCCATACTTCTTTAACTTGCCAGCAAGAATACTGTGGGAGACCGTATCAAAAGCTTTGCTAAAGTCAAGGAATAACACATCCACTGCTTTCCCCTCATCCACAGACCCAGTTATCTCCTCATAGAAGGCAATTAGGTTAGTCAGGCATGACTTGTCCTTGGTGAATCCATGCTGACTATTCCTGATCACCCTGGGTCCGATGGACAGTCCAAAGGGGAATAACCTATACTGGAAATGGTCATGTCCAACTGTGAATCGGAGGAATCGTCTGTGAGCTGGGTGTATGGTAATGTGGAAATACGCGTCTTGTAGGTCGAGGGCTGAAAAACAGTCCCACTGTTCCAGCATTGGGATTATTGTACCTAATGTGAACATCTTGAATTTGTGGGAGCGTATGAATTTGTTGAGTTTCTGTACATCTAGTATGCATCGCCATCCTCCATTTTTCTTCTGGGTCAAAAAATAGTGGGAACAGAAGCCCTTCCCTCTGTATTGTGTAGGTACTGGTTCCACAGAACCCAGATGAAGTAGATGATCTATTTCCTGCCTTAAGAGGTGCTCATGAGAAGGGTTCCTGAAGAGGGAAGGGGATAGGATAGGGGGGCAAGAAATAAACAGGATGGCATACCTGACCTTATGATTTCTAAGACCCAACCATCTTGCATGATGCACTCCCATGCATGGTACAAGTGTCTCAATTGGTGGCTAAATGGGCAAAATGGCACAGCTGTGAGGGGGAGGTCATTCAGACCCTCGACCAACCTTTCAAAACCATTGCTTGTTAGGTGGTGGTTGTAATGCTGCTTGTTGAGGTTGTGAGGGTTGGCGCCTCGGAGATATATTTCTCTGTCTGTTAGACTCATATGGTCTGGACTGTGGACGGTTGAACTGTGACTCTCTGGCATGGTGGTAAGGCTGGTAGCACTTTCTCTTAGTAGGAGATGTGTAGATGTCCAGTCGCATGTGAGTCTTTCATAGAGTGGAGTACCTCATCGGTCTTAGATGAGAACAATTTATCTTTGTCAAAGGGGAGGTCTTCCACTTTAATTTGCAGCTCTTTTGGGATGCCAGATGACAAGAGCCAAGATGCTCTGCGCATTACAATAACTGTGGCACGTGCTGCCATATTGGCAACCTCCAGGGAAGCTTGTAGGGCAGTCCTGGCTACTAGTTGTCCCTCAGTGAGCATTGTCTTGAATTGTGCTCTTTTACCTTCAGGAAGGTCGGTCATAAACTCACATAATTTCTGGTAATTGTCAATCATATTTCGCCAGAAGGGAATTGTAGTTCGTGACCCAGGATTGTAAAGTGGATGAGATGTGGACCTTTCATCCTAAGAGGTCTAGTCTCTTGTGGTCTTTGTCCTGAAGTGTGGATCTGGACTGAGGTTGTTTGGCGTGGGTGGAGTGGGTTGTTTGGAGCAGGTGGGAAAAGAGAAAGTCCATTCCCTTGGCCGGCACATAGTATTTTCTATCAGCTCATTTGCAAGTGGCAGGGCTGGTGTCTGCCATACCATTTCAGCGGGTTCCAGAATTGCATCGTCTATTGGCAGTGCAATTTTTGAGGAAAGGAAGGTTGCGAGATTTTGAGCAGCTTACGTTGGTTTTCCTGGACCTCCTCCAATGGGATGTCCTGGCTTAGTGCAATTCTTTTAAAGAGGTCTTGAAATTGTTTGAAGTCATCTGCCGTTGTAGGTGGAGGTGGCATGATGGCCTTATTGGGGAAGAAGAAGAGTTGTGCATTGGTGACACATCCTCAGGGCCCGTTTCTTCCTCTGGCTCCTCTGTAGTCCCCTTTGGGGCTACAGATGTTGTAGCCACTGGAGATAATGGAGGAGACTGAAGTTCACCTCTGGGTGGGGATGAGGTTCTGGCATAGTGGGCTTTGTATGCTGCCCACAGATTCTATGGCAGCCACTGCATGGGAAAAGCCATGGAGGGACACATCCATGGTCGTCCGTACAATGGATATGGTGGTTGACCATGGTGGCTTTTAGATCTCAGTGTACCCCCAGCAGGTCTGTGGTGAGTCAGGGAAGAGTGTTGTGGGGAGAAGACTCCTCCATCCCGGTCCTCATCATCGCTGTCACTGGATACGGATGGTGCCATGGGGGAAGTGGGCTGCATAATGACACTCCTTGTGGACAATCCATTGGCGCCAAGGAGTGCTGATTGGAACACCAATGATACGGAAATTGCTGCAGTGCTGGTGGATGCGGTGCTGAGGGTTTAGTTGCAGCTGAAAGGTGTGCAGCCATTTTGTGGCTAAATTTTGTAAGTGCCAGTGGGCCCATCGCAGCACTATCAGTCGGTGCCAGCAGAGGCAGCAGTGACGAGCATGGCAGTGGCGCAGATTTTGTGGTTGGCACCGGAGGTGGCAGCATGGTTGGTGCTGTGTCTGCTGCGTGTGCTGGCGTGGTCAGTGCCATGGAGAAGACATGGCTGTGCCTATGTCTTGACTCCCTGCCCTTTGCTTCGGGCTCAACGGCATGGTCCGTGACGGAGGTGCTGGGGGAGTTGTAAGTGCTGACTTTCGGGGTCGTCGGCACCGAGGCTAACGACCTCACAGTGGACTGTTTCTTTTTATGCGGATCCCTCTGTGGAGAGGTCGATGCTCACGTCCTCTTTACATGAGAGGACGGAGCCGTGCTCTTCGTCGGTTCCAACCTTGTCAGCGAGCACTTAGGGGGAGGTTTCGGTTGGTCCTTTTCTGTACCTGGCTGGAGTGACTTCTCCATGAGAATCATTTTGAGGCAGAGGTCCCGGCTGCGTCAGGCTCTCGCCTTCAGGTTGTTACAGTGAATGCACTTTTGGGGTATGTGTGATTCACCCCGATATCTCACTCAGAGAGAGTGTCCATCAGATCGTGGCATTGTTTCTTGGCAGAGCTGCATCTTTTAAAGCCAGGTGAGCTCAGGATGTTTCGAGGCATGCTCCAAAAGGAGCAGGGAATGGGAGAAAAAACTTTTTTAAAAAAACAACTGACTGTTAATTAAGCTAACTAGGAACTGTAATAAACTTATCTAAGGTATCTAACTACTATTTTTCTTTCTTTACTATCTGCAGGGGAAGAAGCTGCCGCACTGCTCCACGCTCATCTTCAGCAGAGGATGGTTGAGAAGGAACTGAGGGGGTTGGACCATGAGCATACTAAACAAGACTCCAATGCGCGTCCCGACCAAGCACTGCTACCGAAAATCTCCGATCAATGGTGCCGGGATGCACTGACACCTGAAGTGGAGCACTCACAGGGACAGCGCTCGAAGAAGAACTATCTCCTCAACCCATTCCACCATGCTTCAACCCTCTCTGCCTTCAAGTCCAGTCTTAAAATTCAATTCTTCTCAGAGGCCTAGTCCTCCATAAGAAAGAAAAATTACACAAATAAAAGCCATGGAACAAATGGAGACACATGCACTGTTCTTTATCTCCTGATTACCCCATGCTATACTAAATGAACAAGGAGGTCATGCAATCAAGTTAATGTCAGGTAAATTTAAAAATCAATTAAAAAATTCAGTATTTCGCGAAGATAAAATCCAGCTGCACTAACAGGGTGTGACATTCTATATCTTGGGGGAGCGTCCTGGAAATCCCATATTCCTCATTTTTATATAATCGTGATCTTACATATAAAGCATGCCTTGTAAGATAGTAGGGGGAAAGTTATGATCTGCTGAAAGTCATTTCTCTATCCATATATGTATATTATTAATGCATATGAAGTTACGAGAATTGTGTTAAATGGTTGTCACTAAAACATGGTGTAAGTTGGGGAATCAGCCAGATATTAGCTCCCCAGAGGCAACAGCAAGGAAAGTAACCAACACCTGGGCGGGGTGTCAAACAACCCATCAACAACCATTGTGCAATAAGGGAGCTACAATTCAATGACTCACATGCATGAGGCCACACCAGGGGAATTGCTCAACCTTGCCTGGAGACTCAGCAATGCCCCCAGACATGCCTGGACTTGTGCTCCCCAAGCACATGGGCCTGAGGTTATAAAACAGAACACAGCGGCCACACGCGGAGCCTTTCTCCTGCTCCCACCTAAGCTGCAAGCAGCAAGGACACTCTGAAGACTCCAACTGAGGAGACTGGCCAAGATTTCAAGGGTGAAATCTGTGTATTATGAACTGCAATATCCTGTGAAGTGAGGAAAACTGCTTAATCTAGATGTTGCCCCATCTAATAGTATTGAGAGTTTAGACTGTGTGCTTATATTTTATTTTATTTTGGTAACTAACTCTGACTTTTTGCCTATCAGTTATAGTCACTTAAAATCTATCTTTTGTAGTCAATACATTTGTTTAACTGTTTATCTTTACCAGTGAGTTTGTATGAAGTGTGTGGCAAATCTGCTCAGGTTTTGCAAAGGTTGGTGTATATTCACTTTCCATTGATGAAGTGGTGAACCAATTAATAAATATGCATTGCTCATCTTGAGCAGTGCAAGACAGTATATTCCTGAGGTACAGTGCTGGGAGCTGGGGGGATTTGGCTCTGGTGCCTTTCTCTGTGAGATTTATGAGTGTCTCTGGGAGCATTCATGCAATCTAGCCGAGCGTGTGGGGCTCCACATGCTGTTGTGCTGAGTGATCACAGCGCTTAGAGGTTCTTCCTGCTTGTCACTAGCAAAGCATTGTGAGATAGCCCCAGCTGGAGAGAGTTAAGGGGGCACAGTGGTCCCACAGTACCTGGCGGCACCCCAGGGATCTCGTCACACAGAGACTGGGTAATTGTATGCCCCCAAAAAATTACACCATAAAATGAGATAGGATATCAAAGATGAAGGGCCAATAATCTGGACTGGCATATCCTACATCCTGCAAGGCAGGCCTAAACTCTTGTGCTCTGCAGTGTCTCTTTTAGCATCTATGTTTGGTTTTCTAAATTTCCGCAGCATTCCCTCTCAGCAGAAGTTATAATTAATAGATTAAGAGATTCCAAGGTCAGAGGCGACTACCGTGATTATGTAGGCTGACCTGCATAACAAAATCCATAGAACTTCCCCAATAATTTTCACTGCTTCAGGCATGGCAGACACAGGATTTGAACTCTGGACCTCTAACATTGTAGAAGACTTCACCAGAAAAGTTAAATGACAGCTTCTTAGGTACAGTGAAGAATGAATAAGCTTGTTGGGAAAAAAAGTCTAATGTAAAAGTTCTTTCCCCCATCTTAATAAGTCAATATTACCTTCTTTGTTTTTCTATACTGCAGACCCCTCTCCAGGTGTCGAATATCTAAGTATTCTGGATTTTGAGTGTTCAGGTCAGTAACAATATCTACCCACCTACAAAATAAAACGGACTAACATGTAGAAGAGATCACAAAACCCATTCACCACTAAAATTTATGGAACTACACAAATAATTCATTTCTATAATTTTTAAATGATACACATTTACCTGTGATAGAAAAACTGAGATTTGATTGAGCACATGAAAAAAAATCAATATTTAATATTAAAGACTTGAAGTTGTGACATACAATTTAAGTTTTAAAAACACCTAGATAGTACCATGAACATTACCACTATTCACTGCAGTGGAGGACAGTGCCCAAAGTAAGTGACAGGGCTGCAGATAGCAAAGTAAAAAACTGGGACAACATTTTACAGTAAAAAGTAATGCGGAAAGAAAAATATTTATCCCTCTGTGTCTCTGTTCTTAGTCCCAACCTCTCCCTCTCTAATCTGGTTTTTACCCCAGGATCCCATATCCCTGTTCTCTCACAACCTCAAATCAAAGACTTCATTCCTCCCTCCTCTCAACTCTGCCAAGTCACATTTTCTTCCCACAGCCCCTTAGCGCCTTCCAGCCAAACCCCCATCAACTCAAACACCTCCCAGCCCCAACACCTCTCTATAACCAGGCTGAGGGGGACTCCTTTCTTCCTACTTAACTACTTGAGAAATCTGAAACACCTCCCACACAACTATTCCAGGTTTAAGACACCCCTGTCCCTCCTCAACCTGACCCTCCTGGTTTAGAAAATTCATCACCTGGCTCAGCACTCTTCTCCTCCTTCTTAGACCCCCAGCTCAGAAACCCCCCCACTATTTGCTGCTGGGAATGAAACAACCAGAGTTTAGGCAGCAGGGAGCATGTGTATGAGCTGAAATAGCACCACAGAAGCCTGTATTTGTCCTCTGGGCCTCCTCCCTCTGCTGCTTGAAGCCTTTAGGGTATGTCTACACTTAAAACGCTACAGCGGCACAGCTGCAACTGTGCCACTGTAGCACTTCAGTGTAGACACTACCTACACCAATGGGAGAACCCCTCTTGTCCATGTAGATAATCCACCTTTCTGAGAGGTGGTAGCCAGGTTGACAGAAGCAATTCTTTGCCCCCCGAGACACGTAGCTATGCTGATGTAAATTCCCTGTGCATACCACCCCATAGGGCCAAAAGTCCTCTAGTGAGAGCCAGGGGTACTGCCCTCTGTAGTATATCAGCTGCATTATGACTATCACAGGACGGCTTTTTGGTAGAGTTTAAGTCTCATTAGGCCACAGTGATCAGTTGCCCCAATTCACTGACAGAGCCTTGGCACACTCACCAAAAACTGAGTCTTACATAAAGGGACAGATCTGATTGGCTATGAAAAAGTCTAACAAATACAGATTTCAGAATAGCTGGACAGAACACAGGAGTGGGGTGGGGGGAGGGAGCGGGGGGAGATGCACACATTTTTATTTGATTACTGTCAGATTTTTCCAACCAGCTATGTTCCCATGGGTCAACATACCATCCCACAAACAGGCAGGAGAAAAAAATCAGAGAAACCTTTTTACTCAGAGTCCCCATGTTTTGTTTTGGTTTGTTTGTTTGTTTTTGGGGGGGGAGGGGAATGGATTTTTCAGAAATTCTGAGGTTTTGGAGAAATGCTGTTTCCTTCCTCCAGAAACTGGTACCAAGTTTTAGAGATCCAGCACCAAGTGAGATTGAAGAAGCTGTTCAGTGAATCAGTTCCAACTCAGACATCTAAAGCATTTGTATTTTCTGAACAAAAATAAAATCTCTTAAAAGAGAGCTGTGAGTTACACCTTTTCGGAGTCTCCAATATTTCTGATTTGTGTTTGTCTATTTAGGCTGTAAACATCTGGGACTGGAAACCTTGTCTTCTGTACATTGTACTCACAAAAAACATTGTTGACATGTTGTAGATTTGATCACAGAATTAGTAACCCAGGTCTAGTATAATATGAAAAAATCAAAACTCTCACTAAAACCCTGACTTTTCTGAAAATATTGAGTACTCCATGAATCATGGAAGCTACAAATGGTTAGTGTACTGCCCATGCCTGATTGGAGGGGACAGTTCTTAGAAGAAACTGCATGTTTTAAGTACCTATATTCTAGAAGTTTAAAAAAAAATAGGAGAGAAGTATATTAGCTTACTTTTTACAGTGAATGGTAGGGTGTTTTCTACTTGGTTCTCCAATTAAGACCCAATATTCCACTTCTTGTTGCAAGAGGTGACCTCTGTTGAACAAAAATACAATTCTAGTAAGACTCAGCATGCATATTGCAATGAAAGACAGCAGCATATTAACTTGCTATTGGTTTTTAGAATTTTGTATTGAAATATTTTACAATTGTTAGTATAGTTGAGACAAATTACAACTGGCTACTGAACTATTAAATAATGTATTACCTATTATAAATTAGCAAAATAGATTACCCAAATGACTTAGGAGAAACAGGACTTTGATTTCTGGTCCAAACTCCTGTTTCACACAGGAAACTGAGGTTGAAAGTGACCGTTCATTTCCTGGAGATAAGGAACATCTTGTGTTGTGACACACACTGCCTCCTCCCCACTAATAAAAACGGATGTTGACTGACTCATCAGGGAATTCTGTTCAAATCTCTCACTGGAAGAATGGTGATTACAACATAAGGCCAAGAGTGTGATATGTATGCAATGATGAAGACTGAAGGCTCCAGAAAGCATGTTTAAATTAGAAGAAACTTTTTTCCTCACCATCCTTGTTCTCTGAGAGTGCCTCCAAAGATCTTACTTTTTCCTGCTCTTAAAACATACCCCTAGTGTTACTAGCCAATGGCTGTTCAGCGCCCTATGCGAAACAATCGGTGGCTTCAATGAATTCTATTAAAGTACTACTCCCATTTTATAGCTGGAGAACTGAGGCACAGGGTAGATTAAATGATTTATCTTAAAATAAAATAAAACACCACACAGGAAGTCTGTGGTTAAGCTGGGAACCTAACCGTAGTCTCCTCAGTTCAAGTTCAGCACCCTATCTTCCTTTCACAACTTAGAGATTGAATTATTAAAACACGTCACAGCTACAAGGCAAAAACAAGTGGCCAAGATTTGCTGCAGAGATTATCAGCAGCAGACCTGGAAACTCTGTAAAATAATGAGACATTTCATTTTCACTCAGGGGGCTAGCATTCTGTTCGCACAGCACTCAATTCATGTGTAATGCATTGATCATTTGCAGTCACCATTTTGGTGGAAGATTCACATAGGAGCAAGCATAACTACAAGATTCTTACCTGTATGCTTTACTAGCTTTTACAGGGGTAGCTTCAAATCCAATTGGACAAAAATAATGATTTTGGCAATGATAAATATAGGCCATCGACTCATCTTTCAGTCCTTGTGTTAACTTTACCAAGGCCCCTGCAGCTACAAAGAAAGGTCTGATCATTCTCCAAAGTGCTTTTAATCTTGCATTCAGTATCAAGCAGAAGAGATCAGTTATTTTTCTTACATTTTCTGGTGTTATATTTATTGTAACACTGCACAAGCAGCAACATAATGCATTATGGGAAAGCTTTGCAATAAACAAATATATTTGATTTTCAATTTGTTTCTTTCAGATCCCATTCTCTAAAAACATATTACCCTGAAACAGTTACAAGAACTATTTCTCTAGAAACGGCACATAATTGAAATACTTGCATCATTTAGATCTGAAAAAAAGTATTTGGGGTTTTTTTTTCCACCTTGCAGGAGAGTCATAATTAAAGACTTAGGAATTGGTTTTGTTTTGTTTTGAACTACATCAAAATATTGTAAGGCTGACTAAAGCAAGAATATTCACAACCATTCAAAGGAATCCCACTGTCCTTAATTCCACTGACGCCAGTTAATACAACATTTGTAGTACACAGCAAGCATATATTAGAGAGACCTGTAATTCTTAGATCAGTGGTTCGCCAACATTTTCATAACGGGAACCACTTTTTGAATAATGATCTTCTTGGGAAACACATCTGAATCTTGACCTCAATATATTCCTTAACCCAACTATAGTGCTTCCAAACAGGAGAGAGACTAGGAGAGCACTGAAACAAGAAAAACTTGTTTCTCCGCTTAAAAGAGCAGAGACACAAAATGTTATTTCCTCTCCATGGGTATAGAATTTAGCAAATTGTCCCTCATAACTGCAGTGGGGATTGCTAACAATCTCCCAGACTCCTTTGCAGCATGTTGTATCCTATATCTTAGCTACCTCTTCACTTTGACAGTTTACTACCTAAAACGTTTTTTTAAAGGTTCAGCTATATTTTTATATCCAGAGTAATCTTCAGTTAGAGGCTTATACATTCAGAAAGGAAGATACAGTAGCTGAACAATGCTGTTCAGCTACTGTATTATTACTGGTAGAATAGCACCAACTGTAGAACTAATTAATGTTGGTGGGCATTCTGCCCAAACAGACATCCTGCTTTCAACTCAACATCTGAAGTTGGATAGATGTCTTAGCATTTATGGGTTAGAACACCATTATAGACTCATGTAGTAAAGTTATCACTTACCTAGTTCACACATGCTGCAAGTATTTCCAGTCAAACTTGTTGATTAACCAGTTATGATTATTTCAAGGAAAATTGTTTCATGTGATGCATGACAAGACTAAGAAACATTGTATAAGATGTGTGGCATTTTTAAAAAGTGCACTGGTCAGTTAGTATTTTTACATTGTAAGTTTTCTGAATCTATTTTATATAAAGAATTCCCAAGTGTTAAAACATACCAGTTGGTGGGATATGCTGTTACGATAAATGCACATCTTTAGAGAGCAGCCAGATACAGGTTGGGAAGCCAAAGGCCTCTAGCACCTTAGGAGTGCAGCTATTTCACAATAATTACACACAAGGTATATTATTTTAGTTAAAAGAAGGAAAATTTGAGTACAGAGAGAGAAGGGGAAAAAAGGAAGGTTAGAAAAGCTATGCAGCTCAGAGCCATTTAGGGTGACCAGATGTCCCGATTTTATAGGGACAGTACCGATTTTTGGGTCTTTTTCTTATATAGGCTTCTATTATCTCCCACCCCCTGTCCCGGTTTTTCACATTTGCTGTCTGGTCACCCTAGAGCCATTTGTTGTTCTGGCTGTAACTGCATACGTTGGGACTTTAGTTACACAAATTGTTCTCTTGATCCTAAAACATTTTACAACTACAGCTTTCCAATTTATATACTAAATTAGTGTTTAAGATTAGCTACTTACCAGTTTCTCCAGCTGTCTTGTTCTTCCCATGAGGTTTATATAGAACATATGAATAGCCTTTTACATGGAAATGATCATTAATCTGTCTAAACCACCTGAAAACAATAAGACTCATTTTAAAGATTTTGGTATTTTAACAAACACTGAAGCAAAATAATTCTTAATATTTATACTTTTTTTTGCCATCTTCTCCTCCTTTAGTGATTTAGAATATGAACTCACTGGGGCAAGGACAGTCTTCTAATGCGTTTATGCAGTACTTTGCACAATGGTGGCCTGGTCTCAATTAGGGTTGCTATAGTAGTACAAGTAGTAAATAATTCATCACAAGGAGCTGGAAGGGACAGAAGTCTGGTAATGGATATATAGCTTTTTCACCTTTATCTTACTAGTTCAAGTCCCACACAGATCTATAATGAACAAAGTTCTTATTCTCAGATACAGCTAATTAGAGGTCTCACTCCAATCCCTAAATAGGTCTGCACATAAAACTATCATGGCATCTGACATATTTGGTAATATCTTGTAAGAGGCAAAGGACTGAATGGATATGGAGAACTGACATGGAGACAGATGTACTTCTAAAAAGAAAGGTGAACTATGGATTTAAAAAAAGGGGCGAGGGGGAAGAGCTTTCCCCCCATGTTAGCATTTGGGTACCCTATGTCACCCTTCCAGTGCAGGCTCATAGCACAGGCAGTGGTAATGCAATAGAAACATAACTTCAGTCTCTAGTCACTAGAGACATCAGTGTAGAAGCATACAAAAATAGTAGGACAGCAAAAACAGCTCAGGAAAAAAGCTATTAAAAACAGACTCTGGGCTCTATTGTCAGAACCCTTAAGGTTTGTTTAATTGTTCATGATGTTTTCAGAAAGCTCAAATAAAACACAATGAGTTAGTCAGAGTATATTATTGCTGTTTTAAGAGTGACAATCTAATTATTTTTAGTATTAGAAAATTATTCTACACATTAGTATTTCAGTTGCTTCAAGAAAACAAATTGTACCTCATTAAAGTTGTATTTCCTGTAAAGGGACCAAACCTAATTTCCTCAAATGGGGGTTGAAAGCCCAAAATATGCAAGGCTTCTTCTTGAGTAATAGGTGGTAGGCTGAAAATGAAATTGATAATCATAATTAACTATAATTAATAGAGTATTTAGATAGCCATTTTAGGTTCCTTGAAATTGAAATGGAATAGAAATGACGTACTTTCCAGCTCCCAGTGTGCTATATAAGTAATTCCAGCAAGATACTAGAGAGGAAATTCCACAGGAAGTCTTATATTGTGGTCGGCTAATACAGTACCTGAGAAGAAAGAGAAAATTTTCTTTATTTAGATATATGCAGCTTGCTGCACTTTCATTTGTGACAATTTACGCAAAAGTCAAATAGTGTTTAAAAAAAAAAAGTATTTTGTCTCACCTTGCCTTTAAAATAAGTCACTGGTAAGTCTCAACCTGCATATATGAATTTAAAAAATCTGGAATAAATATGCCAATTTCTCTTTCATGGGACTTCACACAGGAAAAGTAAATAAAATGGAAATCTGGCATATTTCACAAGCACAAATCTCACACACATCATTTTCTGAACATTTCTAAAATTAGGTGGTGATGTGGATCCCACTCCATCAAGATCTGTGCTGAGACTACCAACTTAATTCACAAGGGCCTTTTAACCATAGAAATAATTTTGGGGCAGAACTGAAATAGGTCAAGTCTACATTAATGATCTTGTGGAAAAGATTACATGTATCCCAATAACAATACCTTAGCCAGCCAGCCTTTCAAGTCAATAGCTTTCTAATGCTGCAATTCCTTACTAAATTGCAACTCTTTGAAACTTTACCAATGGAGGTGACTTTAGGTCACAGATTCCCTATCCTAACCTTTATTTCCATGCCATAGAAACCTTCTGACGGGTTAAAATTAGTTTAGTGGCTTCAACCCAGTTCTTAGTGAACATTCTGTAGTACATTCACAGTTCTGTATGACAGAGATTTTGCCCAAGTAGCCCCGACCACAAAAGAAGGGCAGAAAGTCAGAATAAGCTACACTTGCATGTGAGTAAATTTACACATTGCCTGCTCATGCTAATGGGCTCTCACTTTTTATTAGTACCAAATTCACCCACAACTTTTTTGTTCTTTATTGAAAGTAGAAATTTCCAAATATGTAGGAAATGTAAATGATGGCACACAGTATCTTAACAACAATAAGAATTGGCAGGGATGATGTCCCTAGCCTCTGTTTTCCAGAAGCTGTGGATGAGTGACCGGGAATGGATCACTTGATGATTACCTGTTCTGTTCATTCCCTCTGGGGCACCTGGCATTGGCCACTGTCAGAAGACAGGATACAGGGCTAGATGAACCTTTGGTCTGACCCAGTATGGCCGTTCTTATTTTTTATGTTATGTTCACCACAAGATCCAGATCCCCTTGTAGGAAGTATCAGGTCTAGTTCACTAACTCTATGTTGAACAGATCCCATATACTCTTCTATCCAACTATTAAAGAAAAACTATTACACATTAAAATTTAAAATAAGACAGCCAGCAACAACATTTACAAACAAGCTCTGCATACTACGATAATCTTAATTATGACTTTTAAATACTACCATCTCCTGAGGTCGAGCACTTTCCGCTGCTTTATTTCTTCAACAGTGGAATGTTGAGAACACTCCCTGTATTGTTTGCTTTTTTTGTCCAAAGATTTTTTCTTTGTTACTTGTTTCTTCATGTTTCCTGCAAGATAAATTTTAGAAGCAGTTAATGACTGCTTAATATACAAGCTAAATATTTCCACTATAATGCCCTTACCAGAAGGCATTCAATGTACTTCTAACAAAAAGACAATATGCTGCATGGATAGAGGTGTACTGTGATTATTTCCATTGGAAGGAAAAGTTAGCTTGTGAACTGGGACTGCCAACAGCTTTGGGAAGAACCAGTAAACTGGTACATACACCTTTTACATAATAGCTCATTTTACAGAAGAATATTTCTATTCTCTATAATCACCTACTGAATGGATTAAAAAGGAGGTCATACTGAATGGCCTCCAAAAACATTGTGAGCCTCACTCACCCAGCCATCCCAGTAACTGGTGGCCTTCCATGACCTCTCCAGAGCCATCTTGGTGCACTAGAGGGAGAGCAGACCACTGACAAATGCCTCACATTATATATATAATGTGATTAGATGGATATATCTGCTAATCTGCATAAGCAGCGTCTTCTGTCTCCAACACTAACAACCACACTTTCAGACTGAAGTGCCTAGGGACATGCAGAGGGGAAATATATCCCCAGGAACTTTCCCTTATTGCAAGTCGCTGTACAGGAAGAAGAATAAAAACAGTTGAAGGAACATTTTCAATCTTGTTTTGCGACTACATATTTCTGAACCACAGAGAAATATACTGTTATATATTTTAGCAGAATTGAAACCATACCTGTAAAATACACTTTATCCATACATCTTATCTTTCAAAAGAGCACTACATGAATACATGAAGACAAAGCCAATAGCATTTTATATCTTAAAAAAGTATTTAAGAGTTGCAAAGACTGTTTTGCAATCATTAAGCTAAATTAGACCTTGACTGGTCAGCCAACTCATAAGAAAAATCTAAAGCAATGGCTCTAGGCATACTCAGTGATTACAGGCCAGATATAAAAATCAGTTGTGTACATATGCATGGTCAATAAACCATTAAAATCTCTGGCTAAGCAGAAACAAGAGGAACACAAAATAGTGGAAAACACAGTTTCTTTATCATATACATACACAATTCAAAATACTTGAACATGATGTAAATTTTGGGAAATTTTGACTTTCTCCATGCATAATAAATTTAATTTTATAAAGATAACATTTGCTCTTGTTGGTATTCTCACAGGAGCCTTTGGGCAGTTTTTCAAGGTAGCTGGATCAAAGCTGAAAGTCACAAGGCCAGCAATTTCTTCCCTTTTAAAAATAGACGTCAGTCCATTCTGTCAGCTCTAAATAGTTTTATTTTTCAAACAGTGACAAAATGTAATACCAAGAGAACACAATAATAAAGTATTCATTTCCCCCACCCTTAGCTGGAAAAGAGGTTGGCTTATATGAGCACATAAGATTTACAATGCCTTGTATTATTTCTACACAGCTTGAAAATGTATGCCATGTCAAACAAAGTACTGGGTTCTACAGGAAAGCAAAAGTAGAGTAAGGAAGCAAGAGCCACCAGGTTTGGAACACTGCAGTCACTACTCCCCTGGCCTGACCCACTCCTATCCAAGCCCCCAAGACCAGCATCTGTGGGGCCAGCACAAAGACCATTTCTACAACACACATCTACGTAGTTCCAATGCACAATGTAAGTGGGGGAGGGTCTTGCATTGGCCCTCCAGGTCACTCATGCAGCATTTTTCTGAATGGTGCAGTGCTGTAATGTCTTACCTGCTCTGTTTTTCAGATGTGGGGTCACTCCATTGAACTCTGATTTGTCAATTTCCCATGCCAGTGGAAGCTTTCCAAGACTACTAGATAAATTTTCCAAGTTAGTGTCTTCATTGTAGATTATCTCAGAAGCTCCACTTTGAATGCCAATGAAGTTAGGTGTATTATTTCCAACATTTAAGGCAGCACTATCTGATAGGCAGGCACTAACTGTTGCACTTGGACTTTTACAAACGGACGTTACCTGGTTTAAAAAAGCATAGTCTGAGCAGATGGTATAAATTTTTTCTCGGGTGTGAGTCACAGGACATCCCCATGGATAATGCCCATCGCCAGTAGGACCCAGTGACACAGCGGACGCATCTGAAGTGCAATATGGCTTTACATCATTATGAAGAGTAGCTTCTGGAGATTTTTTTTCAGGTCTGTTTTCTTTGTGTCCAGAACCATTCTCCCTTTCACCTTCTGCAATGTTAGGCATTGAATGATACTAAAAAGTTCTGTCTAGTTAAGAAGTGTTCAGCAATTTTTTTTTTTTTAATAAAAATTCAGCCTACATCATTGCCTGCAGATTTGCAAGCTACCGACGAGGTACCTGCAAGAAGGGAAAAGCAACTGTTACCACAGCATGCCTCAGCTGATAAACAAGCTATATACAAACTTTAAACAAAGGCTTTTATTTTAAAAATTGCAAACAATGAGAGTTGCAATACATTTCAGGGTATTTCCGAATACAGAATGCTCTACCCTGCTGTCCAAACATTTGCTTTCTATAAGTACTGCTAGGATGCTGTTACATATAGAGCTTTCATTATTTGTGACGTACCAACAGCATACTCTGTGCTGACAGCATACTGAGTCAACCCTCAATAAGTCATTTCTTAAAACAATTTAGGATAAACAAGTAAATAGTTTTTCCACAGAGAAAATTGGCATATGCATGAACACTGCAGTTTATTATTTCTGCCACAAACATTTGTAACAGTAATCATACAGATCTCAACGCATTTCCCAATTATTACTGAATTAAAGGGATATCAACTAAAAAAGACACACTTCTCACTGAAAATCTTACTTAGTTTTGCCATCAGAGAAACTCAGATTTATTGTAACTAGAAGAACAGAAACATTTCCTTTTCAGTTAGTGTATTTACCATCACTTGTGTACAGTGAGTCACTGTATAGTCACTCAGTCTTCCCTTTTGTTTGTGTGGGTCTTTCACATAGCAACAGGGGAAGAAAAGGTTTGGTTTTGTGTGTATGTGCAAGTTTGTTTTATACACACAAGAAAATGAGGCAGGTGTACTATTAAAAGCTACTTTTAATTAAAGTTTTAAAATCAAGGTGATGGCATCCTTGAAATCATCCATACCACTGCAACATGGATAACAAATATGAAGAAACACACACAGAAGAATTAATACGCATTGTTGTAGCTGCATCAGTCCCAGGATATTAGAGAGACAAGATGCATCTAGCATCTTCCACCTTGCATTTAGCTATGACGATCCACGTACCTTTCCCAGACCTGAAGAAGAGCTCTGGATGGTGCTCACTCTCCCACAGAAGTTTGTCCAATAAAAAAGATATTACCTGAGTCACTTTGTCTCACAGAAGAGGTAAGTGATTTGTTCAAGAACTAGAAACAGAACCTGGCAATGCTGACTTCTAGTATCTATACTTAGCCAATAAACCATAACCCCTCTCCAATACACTACTTTGTAGTACGCATGGTAGACAACGCTGAACAAGGCTGTAGCTATGGGAGTTTCAATTTGTAGTAGATATAGAGGTCCTGTCGACACTGGTAAAATGAACGTGTGTATTTGCTACCATTCAGGTCCCAATCCTGCAAAGGACTCTGCATTGGCAGGTCCCTCTAATATCACCATAAATTACACTGAGACAAGGCACAGCCAAGTTGTTACAACCACACCCCGGTACACATCCCCACACCATTTCCTAAGGTAGCTGGAGCTACAGTGGTTTGTACCTAGGGTGGTATCAGGAACCACTGAGCAGAGTGAACCCTCCTTCACTAAGGACCCTTTATTGGCCAGCGCCAAGCACCTGGGAACATTGCACACGCGTTTGTATGCAACAGGCAGC